CAAAGCCTTAACTGTTGGGCCACAGAGAGATCAAAACAACGTGTTCCCTCTTCCCCCTCTTTGGCCCAACAAATATTTAATAATTTTAAGCAAAGGAGAACATTATCAATGTCAAGAAATAAAAAAGGACCTGTCTCATGACACTACACACCATGGTCATTACCAAACTGAGGCAGATGGCGATTCAAGTAAGAATTAAACCTGTTTTTTTTCACAGCCTGCTGTTCTCTGAACTACTGGGTAAAAACTGTGAAGCACCAACAGTGTATCTCCTTTTGGTGTCTTGTGCAGAGCTTTGTTCTTTAGCAGAATCTGAACAATTTCTAAGGAATGAAGCCCTTAATATGAGGAAACTAGAAGCACCTCTTCTTTAATTCCAGACAGGCTTTTTGTATTCATTCCTGGGATGCTTCTGGGTAGGCTTCCAGCAGAACTTCAATATCAGCAGCTTCGATACGCCGTATCCCAGGGTGAGGTAGCAGCTAAATAGGATTTGAAGAATCTAATTTTTGATGTTTGACATCCTAAGGCATGCCTACCTCCCCTGCTTGAGCTTACAAACCCTACCACCACCACCCAACTACCCCCCAGTTCACTTATCTTTGAAACAGGGATTATTTTCCTCTTTTGAAAAGAACTGTGAATGTTTTCATGTGTTTATTTAGCTATTTATTTTTAGCCTACAAGAAAAAAAAATACTAAGAACTCTTTTTCTTGCCATTTCATGCCTTCTTCTACTTTCTTTCTTGCTTCTCTCAAGATAAATTGGTGCCATTTCACTTGTTCCTCTCCTGCCAAAGACAAATTACATCATTTTCTTTTTATTTCTTTGCTTCCTTTGGCTCAGAGAGATCCCTGGCTTCTTAGACAAATCATACTTGTATTTGAATTTTCCTGTATGGAGTATACATATTGAGATACATTCCAAAAGAGAATAGGTTAACTTTTCTTTCAAAAATTAAGATTTAATCCAGCCCTGTTCTAAAGTCACTATAAAATTTCTGAATAACGTTAATACATTTTGAGTTAGGACTTAAGGGACCAACCCCTGCCATAATTTACATCAGCATGACTGAGTGTAACACTATGGATATATGCCAAGATTTATACAGATAAAATCTACTTGCAGTTATATCTGAAGTCTTGCATCCTCTCTACAGTGAAGCAACAGGGTTTTTTTCTTTTTCTTTTTTTTTTTTCATTTTCCTTTTCCCTCTTTTTCCTTTTTATTTTTTTTTCTTATTTTCTATGCAATTTTCCATGTTGTTTTCTGTTTCACTTACTTCACCTTCCAGATTATAATTTTTCACTGCATAAATTTTATTATGCTCTTTTTATTTGTATATTACATTGAGTTTTTTTCTTAAACTAGACTAAAACTGCATTCACCCTCAGCTGAATACAAAATAAATAAATAAATAAATAAATAATAATAATAATAATAATTTATTTTTAATTGTATTTTAGCTGGGTTTGAGATAATCCCCTGCCTGCTCCCCTAAACCTGCTGAGAATATGTCTATTCTCTTTGCTGGGGAGACTGCAAAGTGCTCCTTCACAGCACATTAAGTTTCACACAGAGAGGTTACTATTATGAGGAGTTTCAATTTGGTTTGGCCGCTACTTTTTACTAGCCCTTGAAAATGTGTATATGCTGCTACACTATAAAAGGGCAATTCCAGCCAATAAGAGAAAATAACTAATATAATCAAGTAAGACCATATATATGGTGCAGCTGGGTGTTTTGCACTGTTATTAGAATCATAAAAAAGGATGATTATCAGTTTTTAAGGGTAATGTGCTGGCTAATACATCTGTTTATGAGTTGGTAAATCCATGTCTTGCTGCTTTTCAGGCAGGGAATCACTGCCTCTACCTCATTCAAACAAGACTCATGATTCAGGGAATTAGGACTGTAAATACCATCCTGCAGTCAGAAAGAAAACCACATGGCCAACTTTGACTAGGAAGAAAATAAGACAGCATTTTGAATTGCAGAATGTAACTAGACTCAACAAATTCATTAAAAACTGATTGTACCTGACACATAACTCAGGTACTTATGTAACTGAAGTTGTAAGATAAAGCCATGAACACATTTCACATGGATCTCTTGAAGGCTTCTTGTAAGGGGATACATGTCGTCGTGGTTTAACCCGGTGGGCAGCTAAACACCACACAGCCATTCGCTCACTCTCCCCCCTCCCTCTCTGGGATGGGGGAGAGAAACGGAAAAGTGAAGCCCGTGAGTTGAGGTAAAGACAGTTTATTAAGACAGGAAAATAATAATAACAATAATAACAATAATAACAATGATGATAATAGTACTACTAATAATGTATACAAAACAAGTGATGCACAATGCAATTGCTCACTACCCGCTGATCCATGACCAGCCTAAACCCAAGCAGTCCCGGCCCCTTTCCCCTGGCTAGCCACCCCTATGTATTGTTTAGCCTGATGTCAGATGCTATGGAATACCCCTTTGGCTAGTTTGGGTCACCTGTCCTGGGTCTGTCCCCTCCCAGCTCTTGCTGCACCCCCAGCCTGCCCGTTGGCAGGACAGAGCAAGAAGCTGAGACGTCCTTGGCTTGGTGGAAGCACTGCTCTGCAACAATTAAACCATCAGGGTGTTATCAGCACTCTTCTCATCCTAAGCCAAAACATAGCATTCTGCCAGCTCCTAGGAAGAAAATTAACTCTGTTCTAACTGAAACCAGGACACATGTACGAATGGATAATATTTCGCACTTTTTTTGTAGTGGGTTTCTTTTAAATGTTAAGTCATACGGAAGGTTAGGGAAAAATAATAAAATAAATAAATAAATAAATAAATAAATAAATAAATAAATAAATAAAACAGGAAGCTATTCAGGTATCCTCACTACTAAATTGGATTAACTGTTATCAGCATTCCTGGCAGACATCACCCCAGAACTAAAGAGAAAGAACTTAACTTGCCTGGCTACCAGGAGAGGGTAGGTGAACTTTCCTCTAATTAGAAATTAGTGAGAATTCTCATGCATAACATATAAAACGTATAGCAAATATATATTCATTTTCATAATTATTTTTAAATAAAACAGGCAAAAAGCACATATATTAATATAATACAGGCATCATTAATAAAGATAATAATATGGGAGTTTATTAATTTTTATCAGGCCAATAACTTCAAATTATTTCATCTCGGTGCAACACTGATCTTGGGTGGTGTCTGGAGTCAGGAGCCACAAGTTCCTAGTCTTTGCTGATGTGCTCTCTATTCAGGTAGTTGACATACTATATTTAAAATACATTCCTATACATTGATATACAAAACACATTGATATAACAATTGTTATAAAAGCACACTGTTTTCCACTCCAGTGCTGAGGTAGTTAAGTCACAGTGCACAGAAAATAAAAATCCTTCTTTTTGATGTTTCTGAAGGCATTCTTGTCCTTCCTTTCTTGCCGTACAAAGACAGACACCACGCTTTGCTGTCAGGTATGTTGGTAATGATGAAATCTGAAGTTGGAATCTCCAAGTCTTCTATGTGAAGGTGGTTCCACTGATTTTCTTAGTCATGGCCATACATCAGGGACAGAGCTACAGCTTGTGAAGGAGGCTGGTCTCAGACACTGCAGGACCTCTCAAAGCCATGTATAGGCATAACAGATCTTGAAGAGCTGATATGATAGGCTTATAACAGAATATCAAGAAATAACTCAGCTTCAAATTTAAGGCAAATGATGTGTATCATCCCATGTAGCGCAAATTTGCAAGAGATGTCATAATGAGAAACACATCATCTCCACTCAAACAAAGCAAGATTCAGCTTGCAAATTAGGCCAATCAGATGTACATATCCACCTGAGGATAAGGCAAATAACTCTCCAGACACCTTATGGCCCCACTTGTTCTCCATTGACTATAATGTGAGCTCCAGTGTATTCCCAAGTGCTATCATTTTAATTTATGTATTTTAATCTGTGAGCTGAATCCCACCTGAAGCATGCCAACAGGAAGCTGTATTTTTTCTCCATTCTACCACCATTAACTTTCTTGACAGCCCAACTTATGTGTGTACCACAGTCTGATACTGTATGAACAGGACAAGACAAACATTTTTAAATTCAAAAAAACGTGATTCAAAACAATGCTGTGAAATAAACTGGGAATCAAGAAACAGCTTCACAATGGCTGTCAGAAGCTATTGATAAACTGACAAAAACCTGTAGCTCTGAAATAAACTGATAGTATAATTGGAGCTCTAGAAATTGCAATTTAAGCACATGCAACCACTGTTAATTTTGCACATGCTGTTTTGTTGTTGTTGCTGTTGCTTTTTTTTATTATTAAAAGAGTAGAATCAGAACTGAATTTTGATACATCTTTCTTTTAAAAAATATGTAAATAAAGTAGACCTGTTGTTTATTTTATTAGGTCTAGCAATGGTTAATAGAGACAGAACCTCTAACATCACCTCAGCAGAATGACTGATTAATTTTATTGAACAGAATCTATGAGAAATACCAACTGATATAAAATTCCTCAATTATTGTAATTATATTGTTTCTGGGGAAAAAAAAAATGCTTATTAAAAATGACTGAAAGTTTTCTGAGTTTTTTTTTTCTGTCATGTTTAATGCTTTAAGTTTAATTATTTTTAACCTCTTTTTTAACCTCTTTTTAACCTCTGTAGTAAACAAAGGAATCTGAATACTGATCACAATGTGATCCCCCTCAATAACAAGGAACAAAAAAAGCACAGTAGTAGTAAACCATTTGAGAAAGATAAAACACGCAAGACTTTTTGTATGTTTTCCACCTGAGTTGCAGAACTATTTCTAATAGTCAAGTTTGCTTTGTACTAACTCCTAAGGAATACATCAGAGGCTAGAGGAGGATCAAAGACTGGTTCATGTAAAAGTCATACCACTTTGTTATTTTACTAAGTTTCAGAAAAAAAAAAGGGGGGGGGAGGGAGAAGGAGGACATAAAAGTCATGAGAGGACTATTCTCTGTATTCCTCTTTTATTCAATCCTTTAACTAAAGTTCACCTGTTGTTTTGCTATAAAGATGAAACTATAAAGGCATTCTGATCTATCACATATCACTTAATCATTTAACACTTTCCAGGAATGCAGCTGCTTGAGGTCTTAAGCGAGGAACATATTTTCAAACACCATTTTGGGTGTTACGAAACCAGTGGCTGAACTTGGTATTGATGGCAGTCCACAAAAATAAACCTTCAAACTTCTTGGTAATGATGTAGGGAAAGCACTCCTCACCATGGCTTCTCTCAGGATAGTCACTTAATATCATGACCCATTTCTACCAGGCAAGCTGACTCAGGACATCTTGGAGATATTGTATGTGATCAGTCAGATAATAAATGAGTATGATGCCTTTTATACATAGCTAGTCACACCCCAATGTCCAGTCATCAGAGCTCACATGAAGACCATCCCCTTGTAGTTCCTTTCTTCATGAGATGTTGACTTTCTGTACTGGCCAGACTTTGACTTAAAGCCGTGACATTGAGGGAAGAGGACGAGCTCTGGACCCAGTATCACCGCAGACCTCACACTGAAGATTACCTCCAGATGCCAGCTGTTGTGTGCTGGCATTTTCTACTTTTAGAAAATGAAGATATTTCTCTTTTGGCTTCACCATATCTCTGTAGCAAGCATTGGTTTCAAGTGAGTTATCCTATAAAAAATAAGGGTTAACTGTGGTCCATTTTTTCCCACTCTTCATTTTCCAACCACCCAGCCCCTACCTTTCTGGTATTTTAAAAATATGTTCCAGCTATGATTAAAGGTTTCTTTGTTTTGCCTTTCAATTTTGTCTCTGCAAGACTGTAAATGCTTTTATATGAGAATTGTAAAGCACAGAGCATGCATCTGTTTTTAAGCTTGGGAACTATTACAGTCATTATCTGCTTCTATAATTTGCCCTTTTTATACTAATTCTTTCTCGGCTTGAAGGGCATATTGCCTATACGTTGTTTCTTTGTGGTTCCATGTCTCATTTACCCAGAGTGGCACAGCAGGTCAGCTAAATTAAGGATTAGATAGACAACAGCCAAGATATTTCTCTCATCTCTATTTTCTGTCCAGTTTCACAGACAGAAATGAAATATTTAAGTTCACAGAACGGTAAAGCATACTTAATAAAAATATTTAAGAGATAAACGTTAAAGTTATATATCTACTATATCTACTTGTGATACATCAGACCTGCACAGGAGGTGAACAATAGAACCACTAGGCTACTTTTTTTTTTTTCTCCTTAGTTGTAGTACTAAGAGTCTGATTTATTGCAAATAGAGCTCCCAGAAGCAGACACGGTGACAAGGGGAGCATAGGGCTATGGACAAATCCCTAACTTCCATGTATAACTTCTTGTGCAGCTGCATACCACCTTTCTGGCACGAAAGTGGACAAAACAACATTTGGGCCATCTTCCCCTCTGAATGTTCCCCCTCCTCATCAGTTCCCACACTGCAAACACTGCTTTGCAGCAAGAACAGATGTAAAGCAGAGAAAAGCCGGTGCTTGCTTTCTTCTTTCAACACATCAGTCCAGTTAAGGTATCGCTGAACAGTGTGAGGCCTTCTCTGAGACAAGTGCTGTACAACTGAGGAAAAAAATCGTATTAACTCTGTGTGTAACAGTATCAGATGGTCACTTCCAACAGAGCAATGCGGCCACGTTCACATGTTAACAAGGTGAAAAACTTTTATTCAGCGCCTACAGCACACACCACGGCGAGCCTGAGCCCCCGGGCTGTGGTGAACGCCCTGCCCCTGCCAGCCCCCAGCAGGCTCTGTTCCTCCTCCAGCCACATCACCCCCTGTCTGCTCTGCCCTCGGGCCGACATTTCGCATAGCAACCCGCCCACCTGGTCTGACGCCCCGCTGTGACTGGCCCGCTGGCAGCACCAGCCGGCCCCGCCTGTGCAGCCACCACCGGGTCACAACAAGAAGTCCCTCCCAGCCACGTACCCGGGGTGGCCATTTTGGCTCGGCCACCCTTGGTGGCAGGGAGGTGCCATGTTTTAAACTGCCATAACTTACGTGTTTCAGCACTGCTCTGTGACTGCCTGGGGGCTGTTTCCTCACACCATTTTACCCCATATGTTCTCAGGCAACCCTGTGACTGCATGCCAGGACCAGCCTCCCCTTTCGATTGCCTTTCAGTTATAGGGTTTCGTGGACCTGAATTTATTAGTTATCTGGCATTGATCACTGTGCTGCTCATCTCAGGAGAGAATCAGCTCCTGCTCCCAACTACAAATACTGCATAGAGAATTTGGATTGACGTCTTAATCTGTTAACAGCTGGTATCTATTATAACCAATAAAGTTCTGATTAGCCATGAGGTAGCTCTTGATAAATAAATATCAGGACACCCAATGAAAGAACATTATGGCAACCCACAGAAAGAGTGTTTAGAATATTATTTAAAGGCAGAAGAAAAGCGTTTTTCTTCTCAACAGTTTTATCTCTTGCATCAATTGCAAGTGTCGCCTTGCTGTTCCCTGCAAGCTTTTCTCCAATTTGTGTTGAATAAAAAAGGATAATGTGATAATGATGGAATAATGGAGAATGCAGAAATGGAAAGGCACAACACAAGGCTCAGCAGAATCCAATAAAATCAAGAGAAAGCGTTAAGTTTGGATCACAGTACAATTTGTTGGTGAAATGATTACATAAACAGAAGTGAACAAGGATCTTCATTTGTAGTTCTGTTACAATTCTGGGCCAGAAAAAAAAAAAAAAATATATATATATAAAATAATAAAAAAATTACAATCTGTAGTAATTAATACGTTGCCAAAAATCAAGGGGCAACACCGTAAGTTCACAAGAATTTTGAGAACAAAACTTGTGAAACATAAAAGTTAGCTGAGATTTTTTTGTCAGCACGTACCAAACTGTCTACATTGTATTAAACAATAGCAATCCTTTAAGGTTGTGGAAAGCTGTAATAAAAATGTTTATATTGATAAAAATCAAGAGTGCGTGTGAACACCTGGGTGCAAAATGCCAGCTGACATTTGCAGTAGCAGGTCATCAAGATCCTAGCACACATCTACCTGCAGTTTCTCAGGACATTCAGATCTGAAATAGAGACAGTGACTAAAACTCGGTGACTCACAGGGGGACAGGATAGAGGGAATAATTGCACCTGAAGGGTACAATGAGATGCATCCAAAATGAGCACATTTCTCAGTGGAGTCTTACTTCTAAGTAAAACCCTGTGTAGCATGGAGACAGGCTCAAAACCTGATCCCCCTCAACCTCTGTGTCATTGTGAGCAACTCTGGACAGCTTGCCCATGGTACAGGCATCCTGGTGCCTGAGTGCTCAGCAGGCTGCTTACACTCATTCTGCTGCTGTTGGTACAAGAGTGTGAGACCAAAGTCATTTTAAGCCTAGTCCATCCTTCCTCTCTATGAGGTGTTGCACTGAGCTATATTGATGATACAGTATTACAAGGTTGTTTTCCTGCAGAGCTATTTGGCAGTCCTATTTTCATTAGTTTATAAAAAGTAAGTATACTTCAGTAAGAAGTTGAGCGTTCATTGATATAATTGTAATTTATCACAACCAGTCTGGATCATTGCTTTTCTTGATTTCCTGGCACCATCCCTTCTTGGTCCCATCTCTTTATACAGGCACAGCAGGAGAAAAGTCAAAAGGGCAACTCCAAATTCTCTCTGGCTTGAATCTTGCTTTAGAAATCTGGTCCAATGCACATAGCATAGAAAGTACAAAATCAAGAAACATGAAAGACAGAAGAGACCCCAAGAGTAGGATGAGCAAAGAAAGGGGATACATGAGAAAGGAGAACCAGTTGTACAAGTAAGCAGGAAATCAGGATTTTTGCAATCCCTAAAATAGGGTTGCAAAAATATCATAAGAATATCCTTGAAAGAGGGATGCAAAAATGGGGTAAGGTAGTAAGCCTTGTGAAGAAAATAAACTTGTAGAGGAATAATCATGTGAGAGGTCGCAAGAGGAGGTCATAATGTTTTGCACATGTTGAATGAATAGCAAGGTGGGAAGGAAGCAGGCTAGAGAAGACAGACATTGAACAGACAGTAAATCCTTTTTTTTTTTTTTTTTTTTTTTTTTTTTTGTCAGACATCAATTTTGAGCAATTTTATGTCTCCTCAGTGGGATGCAGAGAAGGGAAGAAGATATTTCAAACCTGACTGGGGCTCTGGGGTGCCATCATCATAAGAAGACTTAATAATATTAATAATAGTCATTACAGTTGTTTTTCCCTCAAACAGTAGGATTGCTCAACCTTGGGAGATCCTGAAAATTCATAATGAAAATGCAAGCTCTATGTGCTTCAGTTCAACTGTATTTGATTGAAAACTGACATCTTCTACAGACTCTCAATATTCCCTAATTATTATGGAAGAAATAGGAAAAAGGCTAACATCCCTGCATGAGCACAAATGAAAGTTTAGTAGGACTCAGGTGTTTTTGCAGCTATTCACTGGTGCAGCATGTGTCCCTGCAGATTGATCACCGCTGACTGACCCGCAGCTCAGTTTTAACAACCATTATCTTTTTCCTAAAAGAAATTGGCACAGTATTCACACAACTCGGCTTGCTGCAAATTCAGACTGTTTAAGTGTGCCTCACCATGAATAAACAGTGATTTGTGCTTGGAAAGGGGAATTTGGTAATTGCAGATGGCATGTCTGAGTGTCCCCTGGCTGATAAATGAACTGTGCATGTGACATAGCTGTCTGTGATGGATGCCACATTTAGAAATGACATTTCTTTTGTCTTTTTAGCTTAAATATTAAAACAAATCCTGGTGCCTTTGTAAATGCTGAAGTTCAGCAAAACCAGACCGAGTTCCTTGTAAGGAAGTATTACTACTTACAAACACTTTGGAGAAAAGCAATATTATTTTCAAAACAGCCATGTCCATGAAAGGCTCTTGTCACTAAAAGGTTATAAAAAGTCTCTCAAAATCTTCAAACCAGTTGTCAGATGCCAGGCATGAGAAGTAGGCTTTACGTTTTGTACAAAAGGAAAAGGGTCAATACCTGATTCAGGCATCTCAAAAATCTTCCTTAGACCATGCAAAAAGACCATGTAAAAAGGCTGGGGTTTGTAGCTTCTGCAGGGACAGGGGCTTTCCTCGAGGAGGCCAGCTTTCTTTCTGCCTCTGCCACTAATTGTCTCTGTGACTTTGGGGAACTCACTCAACTTTTCTGTACCAGTCAGCCCCACTGCAAAATAAAGGCACTTAGAGCTGTTTCTTCCTTAGAGTGTTGTGAGGCTTAGTTCAAGTCTCAGCTTGTCAGAGACAGGGTTTGTTCATTAATTATGACCTATGCTTGTTGACAAGTGTCAATTTGTGTATTTGGATGGAGACAATGTCAGCTCTCTGATCTGAATGTGGAAAGGGTAGAGAAAATATGATCTTCCCCTCAGACAGTAGTCCATGCACTTATTTTTAGATCCAGAAGTACTTGACAAGGCCTAGGGGAGAGGATTGCATTTGCCTAGCCTCAGTCTAGTAAAAGGCTGCCAAAACAAGGAGGTTTTAGCCGGAGGAAAAACTGTTTTCCCAGATAATATGTCCATATGAAAAGGCGAAAAAAATACAAGGAGTAATATAAAACTGTACTTTCCATTATAAATATGTGATCTGCAAACATATAATACACAGCTAAAGCTGTGGTAGCATAGCCATCACCAATCCATCAGGGGGCATGTCTTCAGTTGTACTTTTCTCTCAAATCTCAGACCAGAAAAGTGGGAATTACTAGGAGGCATTTGCCACCTAATAATCAGTACATTACCAGCTTTTAAATCCTAATTTCCAGAATTCACTAGTGCCATTAGCTATAGCAGGTATAAAATTGCGGTGTTGTTCCACTTGCCACCAACCTTTTCCTTGTTGTGTAACATTCCTTTTATTTGTGTTTGACTTCACTACAACTTTTATTCCTCTGTGTGTCTATACCTCATTAAACATCCCAGACCTTCAGAGTTCTCAAGATTTACCCTAGTTTATGAATGAAGGAGATCTGTCCTCTCTTTATTTCTGAGATCTTTTGAACTCTGCAAATTTTAAATGCATTTTCTCTTCCTGACTGCAATGTAAGAGTAGACATAATTTCTTTAAAGAAAAATGAAGTGTTCATTAGCCAGCAACAAAGGCTGGCTGCTACTTCAAGTCTTTCTCTGGCTGGAACTGCTTTCTTCCTAAGTAAATAGAATGTCATTTACAGACCATCTTCACTCAAGTCACTCCTTTGACCAATATTATCCTTTCAGCAGTACTGCCCAGTGCAGTAGAGACTGGTGAGTCTGGGATATAATAACCAGAGCAGGTGAAATCTCTTTTCAGTGAATAGGAAATTTGACAGAGAATTTTTTTTCATCTTAAAACTATTTGTGAATTCTGCTCATGTTCACTGTATGAGATTTTCCAGCATGACAAAAAGGCAGAAATAAACAATGTTGTCATATTTCATACCCTACTGAGAGTACCCTTCAGCCTGATCACTTATATTGGCTGAGTCCCACTGAAATGACTGAAGGGCTAACTAGGAATTGGAGTGTACTGCGACTGGACAAATTAGGATAAGGATGCTACTGGGTATGAAATACCCAAGCACAGAGCTTGATTTGATTCAGTAAAGCACTGTTTTGTGATAGAGTCTAAAACTTGAATCTGAGACTCTCATATATGCCAAAGGGGGGTTGTTGCAGCTTAACCCGGCAGGCAGCTAAACACCACAAAGCTGTTCCCACACCCTGTTCCTACTGGGATGGGGTAAAAAAAAAAAAAAAAAAAAAAAAAAAAAAAAAAAAAAAAAAAGAGGAGGAAGAAAGAAACTCAGGGACTGAGATGAAGGCAGTTTAATAGGAGGGAAACTGAAGAGAAAATAATAATAAGGAGAAGAACATAAGAATATACAAGGCAAGTGATGCTGACCAAATGCCCAGCCAGACCCCAAGCAGTGGCAGCCTTTCCAGCATACTGTCCCAGTTTTATCGTTTAGCATGATACTGTATGGCATGGGACATCCCTTTGGACAGTTCAGGTCTGCTGTCGTGCTTCTGCCCCCTCACAGCTTCTTGTGCACCCCTAGTCTTCTCACTGGCAGGGCAGTACAAGAAGCAAAGTGTGTAACTTAGCAAAAGCATTGTTCTGCAACAAGTAAAATACCAGTATGTTATCAACATTATTCTCATCTTAAATTCAGAACACAGCACCATACCAGGAAGAAAATTAACTCTACTCTTGCTGAATCTGGGATGGGATTCAAATTTCTTGACCAAGATGTCTTAG